ACCCCCAGGCCACCCCCAGGCCAAGCCACGCCAGAGTCAGAGGCCTCGGTGCCCCCAGTCCCTGCCCACACTGCACGCCCTGTGAGCCCCTCCCTGCCGGGACCTGTGAGCCAGGCCTCCGTTCCCAGGACCCTCTCTGTGCTGCCTCTCTCCAGCAGCCTGCGGCCCAGCCTCACGCCCATGGTCAAGTCCACCGTCCTGCAGACCTGCTTCCAGAAACTGTACCAGCTGCCACCCATGAAGGTGCTGAAGAGCTGCTTGCCTGCCCTGAAGTCAGACCCCATGGTGACTGCCCAGCCCGGGGCCAGCCCATTTCTCTGGGGGTGGGTTCTGGGCACTGGGCCCCTGGGTCAGGCCCTTGGCCAATGCGAGCGAGGGGAGCAAAGGACAGAGGCTTTCTCCTGCAGTAGGAGGGGCCGGGGCCACCGAAGGGCTGGCCACATGTCTAAGAAGCCAGTCCTCCCGGCCGCGTGGCTCAGTGGCTGAGCGGCGACCTAGGACCCAGGAGGCCGTGGTTTGAATCCCGGTCGGGGCACATACCCGGGTTGCAGGCCTGATCCCCTGTGTGGGGCGTGCAGGAGGCAGCCAATCCATGATTCTCTCATCATTGATGTTCCGCTTTCTCCCTTCCTTTCTGGAATCTATAAAAATGTATTAAAAAAAAAAAGAAAAGAGGGCTGTCCTCCCCCGCCAGCTGGGCCCTCTGAGGACATCATCATTAGCCAACCAGGCCCTGCAGGGAGCAGTGGCCAAGCCCTCACCCGGGACGGATCCCCGGAGACCTGGTAAGGGATGAGTGCGGGTGGGCACAGGGCGCTGTGTGCCGGCAGGTGCTGTACCAGAAGGCCATGCAAGCGCTCAACCTGCTGCTGCAGACCTTCATCTCCGAGAACAAGAGCATGGACGAGGTCTGCTTCCTCCTGCAGGTGCGCGGGCAGTTCTCCGGGGTCTGCTTGGGGCGGCCCCAGTTGGCAGGCTTGCCCTGGACCCCGACCCAAGTGCCTGGGGCCTTGCCTCCCTCCATCTCCCTCCCCCCTGCCCAGGGCTCTGCTGGGTGTTTCAAGAGCCAAGGGCCCTGGGAGGAGCGGGGTGGCCCGCTGACCTCACCCCCCAGTGCCCTGGGGTAGGGACGCCCCAGGAATGGTCTGCTGGCTCCCCACAGCCTGGAGAGGCGCTCTCCCACGCCCACAGCTGGCACAGCCCCAAGGCCCCAGGGCAGACCCATCGTCCCCCACTGCTTGTCCGCAGAGCCCGCCAGCCCGGGGCAGTCTCCATATCCTGGAGGGGGTCATCCGGCCCCAGGCCCAGCCTCTCCGGCCGGAAGGACTGGGCCGGAGGGGGGAAACGTCGGGTGGGTCAGGACCAGCGACAGCCCCTTCCGTCACCACTGCCCAGCCAGTGTGAGCTGGCAGTGAGGGGGGGCCATGGGCCTGATGGTCCCGGGGCCTCCTCCCTCCGCCCAGCACACGGAGCCCTGGCTGATGTCCGACAGGAGCCACGAGCGCAGGCGGGTGGTGCACACCATCTTCCTGCTTCTGAAGTGCGTGGTGAACTACGTGAAACTCACCGTGAGTGGGGGTGGGGGTGGGGGGCGGCCAGGCTGGGGCGAGGAAAGGGGCGCAGGGACCCCATGCTGCTCCACCTCTGCATGGGGCCCACCTCCCAGCTGCATTCACTGAGCTCCAGGCCAGGGGTGGGGAACGTCCAGCCCGCGGCGGCCGGCCGTCCGAGCGTTGAGGGTTTGATTCAATTCCTGGTCAAGGGCACGCCCCTCAGTTGCAGGCTCCACCCAGGCCCGGGTGGGAGCGCGTGCAGGAGGCAACCCATGGATGTGTCTCTCTCACATCAATGCTGCTTTTTCTCTCTCCCCCCCTCCCTTCCACTCTCTCTAAAAAAATCAATGGAAAAATACCCTTGGGTGAGGATTCACACACAAAAAAAAGAGAGAGAGAGAAGTTGAGAGGGACCGTGGAAATGATACCAAGCAGCCAGGCGTGGCTCCGCTCACCGTCCCCCCCGCCCCCCTCCCCCCAGGAGGCGGCCAGGCCCTCGATGCTGGGCCACCAGATAGGCCTGCTGATGCTGTTGTGGAGGGACAGCGATGAGTTCACCAAGAGCCA